CCCCAACAGCCATAAACGCGTTTTTATTTTCTTTTGTAGCCAATGACAGTGATTTGTTAATGGAAGAGGGAATGGCGTTCACAATAGGTTAGTAACTCTCTGCTATGGTTTTCTTTAAAAAAGCGCACACAGAGCGGCCCGGATCCGTACCATTTCTTTATTGGGATATAGAAATATCCATGCAGATATGGGGATGTCGGCGACACTGACCCCTTAGGAAGCAGATTAAAATATTTTAAAAAAACGCATTAAAGGAACGGATTGGGTGAAATAGCTTCCAAATGATAAGATTTAGAAAATTAAATGTTTATTATAAATCTTATTAAATTACATATTTGACGCATATTTTTGGCAAGGCGGAGACTCAGCCGGCACACTTGGGCTGCGGAGCATGAGAAGGATGCGATTGTGTCCCCAAAGCCGAGGTTTACCAGCGAGTTGCCTGGTGGCTCTTATGTCATTTGCTGCCTGCCAGAGCTGCTCTTTGGGTTTGGGGACTGCAGCGCCGATAACCAGTCAGAGTCTCGCCCCGCAGATGGAACGTGCTAAATACCAATCATGGAGAGCTGGTGGGGGAAAAGCCCTCTTTCTCACTGTGTGGCTAAATGGCACGGCAATTAGAGGGAAATAGGAAAATTGTTGTTTTGCTGATTTAATGAACATTTTAAGCCTGTTTAAAAAATTCAAATATTTAAAACTATCTGCTGTTTGTAAGTGTGGTTGGTGCTTTGGTTATTATCCACGGGGTCTTAATTAAAGCTTGATTAAAATTCCCTGCTTTTACAAAAGAGGAATGGGCAACTTCCTACCTTGATATTTCATCTTCCTCTTTAGTTCACATTTTAGTGTTGGAAGAGAGTGCCGGCCCAGGGAGGATGGGACCTGTGCGGAAGGGGAGCTACCTGCTGGGACACCCCCACTTTCTTGCTTACTTCACGGTCCACACAGGAGTGCAACTAACTTTAGAACACATTTTGTTTTTCTTGTTGCAGAGCCAATAATAATGGAAGGATCCCCCGAATTTAAGATTCTGAAGGATAAATGGACTGCAGTTTCTGTAGACAATAAAAGGTGTCTGATTTTATTTTTTTATCTTTCCTAAGCCATGGAGCTGATCACTGACAGCCCCCCCCCCAAAAAACGGGTGAGTTTTACAGGCGTGGTGGACGCGTTTGCCCCCTAATAACTGCTAAATGTGCATTTCAGATCAGCGCAGTTTGAACATACCATTGTGATTACCTCAGAGGGAGCAGAAATCCTCTCTAAACTGGTGGAAGAAGCCTAAAGATGGAGCAAGGAGGGAGTGGAGAGACTCGCTGTGCTTCTGGGATTTCCACTTTTGCTCAGGACAGAGAGGAGGTTTCTGTAATTTCTATGGGGAATGGGTGCTGCATAAGTTGCTGCAGGGGACAGAAAAAGCAGCTTGAGGGGTCGGCTCTGGACATAGTCCTTTCTGTGTGTTACCTGGTGAGTATTTAATAAAAGTCCCTTGGCTTGTTTGTGACCCTGGAAGCAGCCATGCACAGCCTGCAAGTGCAAAGGATTTGGGTTATTTGGGGCAGAGAGCGGGTCCCGTCTCTTCCAAATCCTGTGCGGGACAAACACGTATCGGATGACACAGTCTCAGTGCAGCTGAGAGGACAGAGGAACATAGTATTTTCCCTTTATAGCTGAGCTATGGAGTCAATTTGTCTTCACTGCGATTAGCACAGTGCTGTTGCCCAGGCTGTAACTTCTGCTAGGATAGAAAAAAGTTTCCTGAGGGTGGCAGGCAGAGGCAGCAGCCTCTTCCCCAGCAGCCATCCCAGCAGCTCTCCCCCTTCCTGCCTCAGCTCATTTCTCTTTGCACAGCACAAAAAGTGATTAAAAATGAGATGCAAAGCGCGCTTTTCTGGAGATCAATAATGGCCCTGCTTGAAGAATTAGCCGGTTTGGGGGAACCGCTGCTCTGCGGTGCCCACGTTAGTTAAGGGAGAGGCTGTCCACAATTTAAGCATTTAACAGAAACGGAGGGGTTTGCGGTCTGGAGGATGAGCCCCGGCTCCTGCCCGGAGTTTGGAGCTGATGGTCCTCATGAGCTGCGGGTCCCGCTTGACCCCGTGGTCTCTGCGATCCTGTCCCAGGCCTGCCGGGGCTGGAGGCTTTGATTTGCAATTGGCCACTTGCTGACCGCCCCGTCAGGCCGGACATGCCTGGCCTTGGTACTCGGAGGCTACCGGAGCAGGACCCGGTCCTGTGAAATGCGGGGTAGCCTTGGAGATAAGCAAGTGACATCCAGAAGTACCCCAGACCCGTGGCAGCAGCGCTGCGGTTTCGGTACAAATCACTTGCCCTTAAATTGTAGGCAGATGCGGTCCTGTGCCGAGGGCTGGCCGGTTGCGCATGCAGGCGACCGGGGCTGCTCAGCACCGGCTCCCTCAGTGATTCAGGGCAGAAGTAAGCCGCTTTCTTACAGCTTTAGTCTGCTGTTTGTTTTCACTCGAGTACAGCGAGCTGTCAGCTCTAATAGTTTTTAACAGCATCTTTTCAAAAAGCAGGACCCCCCCAGCATACGGCTAACACCGCGGGGCAGCCGCTCAGCTCCGTCCTCCCCGAGAGGAGCTTGGAAGGCCTTAAAACCTGTAAAAACAGACGATGCAGCCGACAAGTTTACAAATGCACAGAGGTTAAACAGCGCGCTGCGGCCGCCGGAAGGCGAGGGACACCCAGCACTGCCCGGGGGGGATATATTTCTCTTTCCTAACAGCCCGCCGTCCAG